AACGTCTCAGAACGTCTGTGGCTAAGTTTAACCCAAATAAAACACAGAATTTTCAAACGAAAATAAAATGTCCATGAACAATTAGCTCGCCTATCATCTCTGAGGAAATAGAGTTTAATTGCTCATGAGAAAAGAGACAAAGAAGAAACAGCATTTTGCTTTGTGTTTTTTTTAAATAAGAAAAATGTTAACTTTCTGTCTAAAAACCTACTGGATATTTCATAATTTTAAGTTTCATACTAAATCAGTTGCCAGTTTACCATCAAGTTACTGATTTTACGAAATCCAAAAGGGGTTCTCTACCCCACAGGACTGCAATAACCCTCAGACAAAAATAGACGTCTTAGATATTCATGTTTCCATCAGAACTTGCATTTTGAAGTAACCTAGGATCTATTGATTGCATTTTTTAAATATTTTATTTATCCTTTTATGTGTATGAGTGTATTGCCTGCATGTATGTAAGTACACCAGTGTTGTGCAATGCGTAAGGAGGTCAGAAGAGGGCATCGGAGCCTCTGGAACTGGAGTTACAGACAGTTGTTAGCTGCCATGTGAATGCTGGAAACCAAACCCGGGTCCTTTGCAAGAGCAGCCAGTGCTCTTAAACACTGAGCCATCTCTCCAGCCCCTACTAACTGCATTGTTAAGTGTGAACAAATATAATAATAATCATTGAGCATCTACACCTGCTCTCTGGGAAGTGATAACCTTGCAACAGGGTTTGTCTCCAAAGTCTGTGCGCTTAGACCTCAGTGTAACCGTGGTAAGGATGCAGAACTAATAGGGGTAGAACCACATGGGCGAGGGTCAGTGAATGTAGTTCTGTGGGACCCTGATGAGTTAAACTGGCCTCCTCCTCAGTCTCTGCCTTCCTGTTTCAACAAGTGTGCTTTGAGTGTAAAATGCCCCCCCGCCCCCGCCCCGCAGGCTCAGTTGTTTCTCACACCTGGTTCCCAAGTGGTGGCGCCAGTTTTGAAGGCTGTGGAGCCTTTAGGAGATGGGGTGTAGCTGGAGAAGGTGGGACATCAGGGGCGGGGGAAGCCCTGAGGGAGACATCTGCTAACAGTGCCAGCACCCACACACACTGCTTCCTGTCTGCCACCAAGATGTGGTGGCCATCCTGGACACTCTCCCGCCCCATGGACAAGACCCAGTCCTCTTCCATGCCTGCCGCTGCATGTACTGACACTCCCTGAGGATGAGACAAATAGACCCCTCCTGTACACCACTTCCCTGAGGTATCTTGTCCCAGTGACAGGAAGAGCGGCCACCACGGCCACAGCGCCTTCCGCAGGCGGTCGCTCTGCTCCCTTCCGCTCCTCCACCTTGTTGTGGGGGCCCCACAAAATCTTGAAGATATGGCCCCTGAGTCTTGGGCTTCCCCCTACTAAACTGGGAGCCTCTTTCCTTCATAGAGAATTCAGCGGTGGCTATTTAGTTAGGGTGACAGAAAGCAAACTGCTATGGCATGCCTCACTGGGCTGGAATTCCTGGAAGCAACAGGCTAAATACAAAAATCTGCCCTTCTGCTCCATCCTCCAGAAACAAATTCAGAAGAAAAACGGCGACCAACATTCAAAACACTGTCTAAAACACGCTCCGAGGAGTGTTCTGGAGTCAATCTCCTCACACTTGGGCTGCGAGGCAAACCATGGGCATTCCACCAGCCTCTGCAAGCCCTGCACTCCAACATGGGGCCGGCAGCTGCCGACTTCCCTGAACTTGGCTCTGGATGCTCGCCCTGCTTGCCTCTGGGTTTCCAGCCTTGGATAGGACAGCAAATCTTCCTGTTTCTCACTGCCAGACACTCCTGGCATAGCCAAAAGCCATTTTCCCTCTCAAAAGGACAGTATGACACTTCCTTCTACCTGTACTTGTCAACCAGGCATCCTTCAGGTCTGGTTAGCCAGGCTTAGAGGCTTCTGAGGGAGGGGACCCGGCTTCCGGCTCCGGACTACCCGCTCTTGGCAGGCTGCACCGAGGTCTGTGGAGAGTAATCAGCTGAAGCCAAACTGCACTGTGGGTATCAGTGTCGGACAGCAGACATTGTTTTCTGATTTTAAGTAAAAATGAATGCTGCCCTGATTTCTCCCATTGAAGGAATTTAGCTCTTGAAAGAGATCCTTCCAGGGGCGGGAGAGATGGCCCAGCAGTTAAGAACACTGGATGTTCTTACAGAAGACCTGGGTTCGAATCCCAGCACCTACATGGCAGCTAACAACTGTCTGTAACTCCAGTTACAGGGGATCCGACTGCCTCTTCTGGCCTCCCCAGGCATTGCACAACACGGGTGCACTTACCTACATGCAGGCAATACACACATACACATAAAATAAAAATAATTTTTTTTTGGTCTTTTTGAGACAGGGTCTCCTTGTAGCTCCAGCTGTCCTGGAACTCACTATGTAGACCAGGCTGGCCTTGAACTCACAAAGATCAGCTGCCCCTGCCTCCCAAGTGCTGGGATTAAAGGTGTGTGCTACCACGCCCGGCTCAAATAAATTTTTTTCAAAAGAAAGAGATCCTTCCAAAGAAAATATATCTTTTGAAACTCACAAACTCTAGGGTCACCCACATAGACAGACCAGTGTGTCCAGTGTTGGCCTGCACTGTTATGAATACAGTGTTTTCTTTAATTCTAAAGAATGAAGTTCACAGGCCAGGTATGGTGACACACGCCTCTAATCCCAGCACTTGGGAGGAAGAGGCAGGCGGATCTCTATGAATTTTAGTGAGTTCCAGGACAGTTGGGGCTACAGGGAGAGCCTGTCTTAAAAAAAAAAAAAAAAAAAAAAAAAAAAAGCCACCATCCCAAAAGAAATTACTTCTAAAAATAATACTCCTTCCTTTCCACCCTGGACCATCACAAAGGACAGTGACCTCCACATTGTTCCCACTCATGAAAAATTTAACTTGAAACAGCTCTGGACAGCTTTCCTTCCACACGAGCTCACCTACCTATGATAAAGGCTTATTGTGGCTAGCGGAAGAATCTAATCGCTCCCACCTCATAGCCTTCCATTCTTGTAACAAAGCTAAACAGAAAGAGAAGAAACACCCTACCCTTCCAAGAATCACACTCCACACTGGATATCCTCCTGGAAATCTTTCTAATTTTCCTTTTCTTTGGTCTTTTTGAGACAGGGTCTCCCTGTAGCCCCAGCTGGCCTGAAACTCACTATGCAGACCAGGCTGGCCTGGAACTCACAGAGATCCGCCTGTCTCCGCCTCCCAAGAGCCGGGACTAGAGGCGTGCGCCACCATACCTGCTTTCCTTTGTTTTTATTGGCTGTCACAGCATCGGTACATTCACAGGTGAAAAACACCTACTCCCTTCTCAGAATGAGGAATCTGAGGCGACAAACCAGGCTGTCCCAGGAAAGTCACATTCCACTGAAACTAGTGCTGGATCAGAATTGCACTGGCACCCCGAGGGGCTGTACTTCCCACACCCACACAGGGTCTCTGATTAAAATACGTCCTGCCTAGTACACGGCTTTTTCCCAATAGCAGGACAGATTATATAGTGAAATGACTGTTGACATGTTTTCTATGACTGAGCAGAGAGCAGATGGAGTCCAAGATACTGAAAGCTCCATGGAGGCCCCTAGGCAGGCAGCTCCATGTGCATACAACACATGTGCATCTAAACAGAGGTTTAGATGAGTGAGGGGACAAGGAGAAGGAGTAAAAGCTAACTCTAAGTCTACCTTGAGGTGGTAGCGCCAGAAGAAAAAACGTTCTCTGTGTGTGTGTGTGAATGTGTGTGTGTGTGCATGTGAATGTGTGTGTGCATGTGAGCATGTGTATGTGAATGTACGTGTGTGTGCATGTGAATGTGTGTGTGCATATAAGCATGTGTATGTGAATGTACATGCATGTGCATGTGAATGTGTGTGTGCATGTGAATGTGTATGTGTGTATGTATGTGCATGTGAGTGTACATGTGTGTGCATGTGAATGTGTGTATGCATGTGAATGTATGTGCATGTGTGTGTGCATGTGAGTGTGTGCATGTGAATGTATACATGTGTGCATGTGAATGTGTGTGTGTGTGTGTGTGTGTGTGTGTGTGTGTGCGCGCACATCAGCCCACATGACAGACAGGAACCTGCTACCTTTACCGAACTAAGCTGGGTACATCCTACAATGGCTCAGGACAGTGTGGCCGCAGAGGGCAGTCCTCCAATACAGCAGTGAGGGAGCCACAGCTGCCTTCCAGGCTGAGTCAGCAACTTCTCATGGCAGATCACAGGACATTATTTCATCTATTATTTTGCCTTTGAAACCCAAACCTCAGCCACCGCAATTAAATCTAATGATTTCATTTATAAAGATCCATTCCACCCTATGTCCCAATCTCTCTTATTTCATATTTCATAACCTGCCCTGAAAGAAAATTAGTTAGTAAATCCAAACGCTGAAGCACACGTGTTAAAAGTCTGCACTTAAGTTCAAGTACAGCTTAAGAGAAGAACAAAGCAAGGGATTATGCATTCTTGAATTAAAGTGATTAAAAGTTAAAAATGCTTTGGTTTAGATTCATGTGATTAGAAAACATTTCAAAAACACTAAAACTGCCTTAGGCTTATTCTTTCTGGGTAAATGACTGCTTGGTTACAGCTAGTCTTAAAACTGTGTAAGAGCCAGAGACTGCCAATGAACTGAGGCAGGCACACGCACTGAGCATGGCTCCATGTCCAGATATACAGTGTCTTACTGAACTCGGACTTACTCACACCATCAAAGTGAAGATGTCATGGGCTGTGGGAGAATCAGCAAAAAAAAAAGCAAAGCTGCCAGTCAAGGTGAGGTATCACCAGGTCAGAATCAGTGCACCTACCCAGTACCACTGCGTGAAGCCAAAACAAAAGGGGTTCTTGGGACCCACAAGGTGCCCTCCATTTCCTATAGACATGGACCACTTACAGCACAAATGGGTCTTTCAGTCTCTGCTTTCAGAACCTTTGAAATACAAGAAAATTAAAGTCTCTTACCTTCTATACTGCACTCAGGAAAGGTGTCCAGGAGGGAATCAGGGTAAGCTTCAGCAGGACCGATTAAGTCAGAGCCATCGTTAACTGACCCTCCCTGAAAAAGGCAGAGCCAGGTGTCTGTTGTCATCAAGAGCTCCAGGGCACCAGTAATAAACAGGCATTCGTTTTCTCAGCTAAGCACCCATAAGGGGGGCAGAAAGTATTCAACTGCATTCCAACTTTGTACAAATCAATAAAGCGCATCAGCATCGATTCATCTTTTGTCACAAAGGCCATAGCAACCCCTACAAACAGCAACATGAGACGTCAGAAGAGGGCAGAAGTGGAAAAAGGACTTTCTGCACAACTCTTCTCCAATCAAAGCTACTCTAAAAGTCTTTTTTGGTTTTGTTTTGGTTTTTATTAGGGTTTTTTAAATATTTTATTTATTATTTTTATTTCATGCGTATGAGTGTATTGCCTGCATGTATGTGAGCGTACCCGTGTCATGCAGTGCCACAGAGGTCGGAAAAGGGCTTCAAATTCCTCTGGAACTGGAGTTAAAGATGGTTCACAGCCACCATGTGGGTGCTGAGAATCGAACCCAGGTCCTCTGAAAGAGGTCAGTATTCTTAACTGCTGAGCCATCTCTCCAGTTTTTAAAACAGGGTCTCATTAGTGGGGCATGGTGGCACACACCTATAGTCCCAGCACTTGGGAAACAGAGGCAGGCGTAGTGAGTTCCAGGCCAGCTGCAGCTACAGGAAAGCCCTGTTTCAAAAAGACAAACAAAAAAAAAAAAGGAAGGGTCTGATTATGTAGTCCTGGCTGGCCTGAAACTCACTATGTAGACCAGACTGGCCTGGAACTCACAGAGATCCACCTACCTCTGCCTCCTGGCACCACACCTGGCTTTTTTTTTTTTTCTTAATCATGTTTTTAAAAATCAAACTACCCGGGCTGGAGAGTTGGCTCAGCAGTCAAGAACACTGGCTGCTCTTGCAGAGAGATTCCCAGAATCCACATGGCGGCTAACAACCAATCATCTGTAACTCCAGTCCCAGGGGAATCTGACATTTTCTTCTGACCTCCTTGACATACATGCAGGCACTCATACACATAAAATAAAAATAATAACTATTTAAAAAATCATACTATCTAGCCAGGCATGGTGGTGCACACCGGTGGTCCCAGCACTTGGGAGGCAAAGGCAGGAGGATCTCCAAGAGTTCAATCCAGCCTGGTCAACATAGTGAGTTCCAGGACAGCTGGGGCTACAGGGAGACCCTGCTTCAAAAAGACAAAAAAAAAAAAAAAAAATCATTGCCTAAAAATCTATCAGAAGTACTCATAAAGAAGAGCTGGGTGCGGGGTGCAGGTTTTAATCCCGGCACTCAGGAAGCAGAAGCAGGCAGATCTCTGTGAGTTTGAGGCCAGCCTGGTCTACATAATGAGTTCAAGGCCATCCAAGGCTACACAGTGGAACCCTGTCTCAAAACAAAGCCAAATATACTCAAAGAAAATTGGGGCCAGAGAGATGGCTCAGTGATTAAGAGCACTGACTGCTCTTGCAGAGGACCCAGGTTCAATTCCCAGCACCCACATGGCAGCTACAAACCGTCCTTAACTCCAGTTCCAGGGGAATCTGAAGCCTTCCGTGGCATTACACGACATGGGTGCACTCACATACATGCAGACAATACACTCATACACATAAAATAATTTTTAAAATTTTTTAAATGTACAACTAGAAAGAAACCAGCTACCAAACTCTCAGGATCCTTAGGGCCTCACTGTTTAAACTGGTAATAACTGACAGGGCCGATAGGAAGCCAGTGAATTTCATCAGTGCACATTATAACATTTCAATAGCGGGGCTGGAGAGATGGCTCAGCGGTTAAGAACACTGGTCATTCTTGCAGAAGACCCAGGTTTGAATCCCAGCACCCACATGGTGGCTAACAACTGTCCATAACTCCAGTCCCAGGGATCTGACAGCCTCTTCTGACCTCCGCGGGCATTGCACGACACAGGTGCACTTACCTACAAGCAGGCAATACACACATACACATAAAATAAAAATAATAAACAAAATATAAAAAAAAAATTTCAATAGCACCTAAGGTGCTATTGAGAAGCTATTTGTGTTTGACAGATGCCTATACACACCATAGAGAAAACTAAAAATATGTAAGGTATTTTTAGTAAAGAGACATACTTCTTAAAAAATTGAGCCGGGTGTGGTACTCATGCCTACAACTCTATCACCCAAGAGGCTGAGGCAGGAGGATCACTGCAAGTTCAAGGTGAGCCTAGGCAACAGTGTACGATTCTGGGTCAAAATTAATTAACCTTTCATGCGATCACCATTTTAATCATGAATCTCGATTTGCAAATTCAGGCTCACAGCTACTTCCTGCTCCTCTGTGACAGCTACAGCAGAGTCGCCACAGCGGTGCCACGAGCGTTTTGTGCTGGGCTTTGCGGACTGAATGCTCCAAAAGCAGACCAGCAGACCTGTGATCCTTAAGTGTCATTAAAGCATTGGCTCTTCTGCTCCTCAACACCCTCCCTTCTGCCTCCGCCAATGCGTCAACCAGGAGAGCAAATCCCAAGAGAAACGCAGACCTGCTTTGCTCTCCATCTCACAAAACGACTCACTAACTTGAACTAATCAGAACTTTCCTTTCAAATGCACACAGAGCGTTCTCTAGACCACAGCACATGCTGGGGCATGAGAGGCACACAGAGCACGTGTTCTCATCATATACAGATGAGTGTGTGTGGCAATCCTTGCCTGCAATCCCAGCGCAGAAAAGGCAGTGGCAGGAGAATCCCACAGGACCCAGGACAGCCTGGGAAACAGAACGAAAGGAAGAAGGAAAAGATGAAGAAAGGGAGAAAGAGAAGAAAATGAAGACAAAGACATCAGAGAAGAGGAGGCCGGGCGCAGTGGGCACAGTGGGTACCGTGGGTACAGTGGGCACAGGGCACCGTGGGCACAGTGGGCACAGTGGGCACCGTGGGTACAGTGGGCACAGGGCACCGTGGGCACAGTGGGCACAGTGGGCACAGCGGGCACCGTTGGTACAGTGGGCACAGGGCACCGTGGGCACAGTGGGTGCCGTGGGAACAGTGGGCATAGGGCACAGTGGGTGCCGTAGGCACAGTGGGCAGTGGGCGCTGTGGGCACAGTGGGTACAGGGCACCGTGGGCACAGTGGGTACAGTGGGCACAGTGGGCACACCTTTAATCTCAGAGCCTGGGAAGCAGAAGCAGGTGAATCTCTGTGAGATTGAGGCCAGCCTGGTCTCCACAGCAAGTCCAGGCCAGCTCCGACTACACAGAGAGCCTGTCTCAAAAAGACCGAAAAAGGAAAAAAAGAGGATGAGCAGTAGGAGGAAGAGGGGAGAAAAACAAAGATGACGAAAACAAAACTAGAAATTAGCAACAGAAGAGACTTCAGAAAATCCACAAATATTTAGAGTTAGCACAGTTTGAAATAATCAATGGGTCAACAAAGAAACTACAACATAAATCAGAAAACACACCGAGCTGCATAAAAATGAAAACCAGAACTTAATTTACGGGATGAGGCCCAAGCAGTGCTCAGGAGAAAATGTACTGCTGTAAATGCCTATACTAGACAAGAACAGTGTCATTATCAGCCGTAAATTTCCACTTAAATGGGAGAAAGGGCAGTGGTTCTACAGGGAAAGGTACCTGCCACCAAGCCTGAGTCTGCTTACAATAGGTCCAAGACATTTTCCAAAATTAGTCGGACTTCTCTTAAACTGTCCAATCTTCACAACTCTAAACGTGAGCACTTCATTCCATGCATCTAAAACTAAGTGTCTTCCAGCACAGTTACAATCAACTCCCAGAGCAAGACAGAATCAACAGGTTGAGTCTGTTTCCACTGTTCAAAGCCCACGATCCAACTTCCACTAACATCCAGACCAATTTCTGAGCCATGTGCCTTGTGTCAGTTTGAACTGCTGTTTTTCACACCTCAACTGTGAAATTCTCCTTGCTTGACAATACCTTTCTCCACGACCCACAAACACCTATCGCAGAGAACAGCAGAGCATGTCACCTTCACCTACTAGTCACCCTGCAGCTCTGCACCGCATAAGCAGCAGCAGATGCACAATCTGAAGCTCGTGTGCAGAACAATACAAAAACAGAAGGTGCGGTCACCAGCGGCACCCACACCACTTCCATTCCTCACACTCAAGGTTGGAGCCCTGCAGTATCTTCCAAAAGATCAACTTTCTTCAGTCGATCAAATTAAGTCATGAATTCCTGGCACAAAACCACTAGCATCAGGGAAACTCAATACCCTATTATTCATATACTGTTTATATATCCTAGAAATTAAGTGTGTACACATATGTACGTTTTCAGTTAAAGAGAAAAAAATTATGGCACAATCACCTAGCTTTTTCTAGAAGGCCAGTTAAATGCAACAGGAAAATGTGGTGGCTATAAACAGTGGCACCAATCCCAGCACTCGGGAGACAGAGGCAGGCAGATCTCTGTGAGTTCAAGGCCAGCCTGGCCTACATAAAAGTTCCAGGCCAGCCCCACTACAGGGAGATCCTGTCTCAAAAAGACCCCCCAAAAAAAAAAACAGTGACACCCAATTGACAACTTACACAGTAACATTCAAAACAAATCAGGAAAGTATTCAAAATGATGAAGATGCCTGTTATGCCAGCACTTAGGAAACTGAGTCAACAGTTTCCAGCACAAGTTGGAGGCCTGGCTGGGTGACATTTGAGAACCGTGTCTCAAATCAAAACAAAACAAAGAACACAGAGCAAATGCACAAATGCATCACAGTCAAGGAATAGACACTAATATCAGATGACCTTGGTAAAACTGTACAACCACCCTTTTTGCTAGATCTTTACCCAAAGAAACAGACCCCAGACCTTGTAGAGGTTATGTCTCAAAAATAAACCCTAACCTCTGCTGTTTCATGACATCTAATTTTTTCCATGTATTTGAAATATGATAGAATCAGTCTCTAGGCCCTTTGCCTCAATCTTTTAAAATTTATGAATCAAAAACTATATACATTGCATCAAACCAGAAGACACACCACGGCTACTTAGCCAGTCACTGCTATTTTCTAATAAAATTCAAAAGTGAACGAAACTTTCTATTGGAACTCACTACACACATTAAGGAGGAAACGTACTTAATAAGACATAAATTTTCCAGAAAGATTAGCAAACCTTGAAAAACTCTTCGAGCTGCTTACTGTCGTACAGGGCAGGAATATTGGCGGAGAACTGGAGCAAGTCTTCAGCACACTGCCTTCTCTCTTCAATAACAGTTTTGTCAAATCTCCCTAGAATTGAATGAGAGTCAACACTTAGGGATGGAACGGTGGAGCTTGGCCCAGGGATCAGAAAGCCACCACAAGCCCCGCTGTCCACCTGCAGTGCTTAACTCAGAACCTGGGAAGTCGAGTCCACCCGCTACAATGTTTCTGATTAAAGGAAACAGAGGTGTCAACTGATAAACAAATTGTATGTTGAAAATCTACATCCTGTCAATGTAAGAAATTCACTATTTAAGAAGCCAGTGATTTGAAACTAAACTTGAAAAGAGGATTTTAAAGAACTCAAATGCTTTTCTATAGTAATTTAATACTGTAATCACTCCTATAATTTTCCCTTTTCCACTCTTTGATTTAGAAAGAGGCTGAAGAGAGGAAATTATGAGAACATCTGTATTAGCAGCAGGGTCAAAAACCTCAGCTTGAAGCAAAAAGCTTTTATGCTAAATCCTACATGTGATGCTGTCAGCAGCCCATGACAGCTGCTCGTGAGAAAAAGCAGCACCCAGCACTGGCCAGCTCCCGTTGCAAGGTGATCAGAAAGTGGCTCTCACGCAACTTCTAATGATGTCTACAATCTGAACGCTAATAAGACATTTTCAAATGTGAATTCTCTACAGCTCTTGGATTCGATTACCAGTTGGCGTCTGTCACGTGCACTGCGTCACACTGACCACCATGTAAGGTTTTAAAAGTACCAAATCAAAAGAGCCAGAAGTCTCACTGAAAGCACTCTAAGTGGTTTTGCAAAGTATTAACAGGACACTAAAACACAAAGCGATTCCTAGCTATTTAAACCTAGGCAAGAATTTGACTATAGACATTAAAATCCCCTCCACTCAGTGTCTTCTGCTTATAGCAAAGTGTCCACCCTGAGATGACTAGAAGAAGACAGGTACCAGGGAAGAAAGAGAAAAGATGGGTTAGACCTGGGTTCAAACACAAGCTCTATCACTCCCGGGCCATAAAATCCTAGTTAAATTCTCCCTTCACCATAAAATGGAGAAAGTGAATCCCATGCTCGAGCATACTTCCCACACTCAAGCACACTGGTACAGGACTGCCATAAGGAGCCCACATCCACACCAAGGGTGTAGTAAGCACTGTAGACTGCCATAGGGTCCCTGCACCTTCAGGAGCTGTGGCAGTGACTAGCACACAGACATGCTAGCAGATCTGTGTGTGCTATGACAACACTGTATTTAGGTGAGGCCCAGACAGAGTTACAGCCAATAGCATATAAACAAAGGGTACACTGTCACTTCCCAGAAATCTTGCTGAAAAACAGCTATGTTCACCCTCCACTCATCTCTTCCAGGTCCCGTCGCTCAAGGACAGTGAAGGGGAAACCGAGGGGACAGAACAGGCTGATTCACAGCTGCAGTGACACTTCCATCCCAGTTCACACCCAGGCTTCCAGCCACGCCAAGGAAACTGCCTTGTACCTTGTGTGGAACTGTGCCACATGTAACCACACCGAACACAGTTCACAATGCTAAATCTGATGTTATTCGTTCTCAGTTGATATAAAACAGCAGCACACTACAACAGCCCTACCACATTTCCTATCCATAATAATACTGGAAATCAAATTCCAAGAGCTCCAAAGTAGAACAAGTTCTCTGACCTGAAAACAATCGAAACGGCTCAATCTTGGGGAAAAAAAATCATTCATCGAATGGGTGCAACATGAGTCCTTCTGCTGTCCACTAAGCACAAACCTGTGCTTACAATTACAGTTCAGCCTATTTATCTCTTTTAAAAAAGATCAGTTTTGGCTGTCGAGATGGCTTAGTCAGTTAAAGTGCTTGCTATGCAACATGCGTATCTGAGTTCTGCTCCTCAGCACCCACATTAAGGTCATTAGAGCTGAATCTGTGAGGTCCAGGTTCAGTGAGAGACCCTGATTTAAAAAAAAAAAAAAGAAGGTGGAAGGTATTGGATGGATGCCTCAGAGATTAAGAGCACTGGCTGCTCTTGCAAAGAACCAAGGTTCGGTTACCAGCCCCCACATGGTGGCTAACAACCATCCTTAACTAACACCCTCTTCGGGCCTCCAGTGGGCGCTGCACATACAGGTGCACTAACATGCAGGCATAACAAAATACAAAAGAATAAATAAAAAGAAACTAGGTGGAAACCAGCACAGTAGCACATACACTTAATCCCAGCAATCAGGAGGTGGAGGCAGGCAGATCTCCTCATAAACAGGGAGTTCCAGGCCAGATGGAGCTACAAGGAGACCCTGTCTCAAAAAACAAACAACAACAAAAATCTGGAGCCATGGTCTCATCCTGTGAGCTGGAACTATGGTCCCCTCCAGGGAGCAGAAGTTGGAGTACCATCTTATGAGCTGGAGCTGTGGTACCCTTTCCCTACAACCCCTCCATCCCCCAACCCTCCATGAGCAGGAGCTGTGGTCCCACCCTGGGAGATGGAACAGTGGTCTCCTTCTGTGAACTGGAGTTGAGATCTCTGATGAGCTAAAGTTGTGGTCCCCTCACAGGAGCCTAGAGCACTGGTCTCCTGCCATGAGCAACAGTTCCACATTCCTCTGGCAGTAGGCTGATGGTGGAGCAGAGTAGAGCATGGAGGGCCTTCCTGATGCTGGGCAGCAGTTTCAGTCTTCTATGAATGACTACAGTTCCCACAGCCCCCTCTTCTGAGGGCCCAGGTTGCGCATGGCTGTGACTTTGCCTCTTATGCTGGGGACAGGGGAGGTCTCTGTCATCTGCAGATTCTGATCTTGGGAGGACTGATTCTCTGGAACAGACAGACCTCCCACATCCCCTGAGGGCCAGCTGTGGTTCTCACTCTACACATGGTCCTGGGCATCCAGGACTTGATGTTGGACCTCACCCATTCCCAGGCACCAAGAGGGTTTCCTGTTATTTTTCTATTCTTCTTCTACAGCCCGTGTGCCTTCACCTGTGACCTAACTGAACTTCCAGAGATAAAAATCAGTCTGGGGAAGTTAAAAAAAAAACAAAGAAAGAAAGTACTGCAACAACTAAACAGATATAATTCCCAAACTAAGATTATGTAATTATATTTTAGAATTTTTAGAATTCACAGTTCTATGTGTGTGTGTATTAGTCAGGGTTCGCCAAAGAAACAGAACCGGTAGAATGAATATATATGTATAGAGATTTATCAGCTTAGCTCACAGGATACAGTCCGAGTAGTCCAACAATGGCTGCACCACACTGGACAGGCTGAGAATCTGTAGTCGCTCAGTCCACGAGGCTCGATGTCTCAGTAGTCCCAATCTGGCGCTGAAGGTCTGACGAATTCCAAAAGATCAGCTAGTCTTCCGTCTACAGCAGCAAGACAACTCACCAGCGAGAGAAGGCAAGCAGCAAGAAGCCATGGGCTGCCATCAGAAGGTAACACCCAATTTTAGGATGTGTCTTCCAGCTTCAGATGATCCAATCAAGAAGATCTCTCTCATTTCAGTTAACCCCAGATCCAGTCAAGTTGACACCCATGATTAGCCATCACAATATGTCTACTATAATTTTTGAGTATTATTTACTGACAAAACTGTACTTACTACCAAGCTTCAACACTAATGTGAAATTTGTCACTGTTGCTGCTTGGTGAATTTGCCCTTCACTCCCTTTCCAAATTCTCCAACCTGGGCTGGAGGGATAGCACAGCCGTTAAAGGCTAAGGCTAACCACCAAAAAGTTAAAGGTTCGATTCCCAAATTCTCCAACCTATACAAAGTTTTTCAATGTAATCATGCTATTTTTTAAAGAAAGCAATGTAATTAAATAATTTCTTTAATTAAAAAGTAGGAAAAGAGAGCCGGACGTGTGGCACATGCCTGTAGTCCAATCAATTGGGAGGCAGAGGCAGGCAGATCTCTGTGAGTTCAAGGCCAGCCTGGTCTACATAGTGAGTTCCAGGACAGCTTGGGCTACAGGAAGACCCTGTCTCAAAAAGACCAAAAAAAAAAAAAAGCAACAAAAAAGAAAAAAAAGAAAAAGAAGGCAGAAAAGTGACTGAAGACAGCACAGGACATTGACCTCTGGCCTATACACACACACACACACACACACACACACACATACACACACACACACACACACAGGAACAGGTACACACAAAAAAGGTATAGTGAATTCATATTAATTTTGTAAGCATTTATACTTTGAGGACGGAAGCCCAGAGGATGTACTTTTCTATACTTTAATCCACAAGACCACTGAATAACATCTTCAAACACTTTACATGTTGAGAATTTCAAGAAAAAGTTTAATAATAAGTTAATGACACCCTGCAGCGATCTCATCTCTGTCTGGAAACAAGAGCATAAATAGACGGAGCTTTAATGTTAACGAGACTCAGCTCACCTCCCCATCAAGCAAGACAAAACTACTTAAGCAACAGGACAGATATGTCTGTCCACAGCTGGTTGATGTGTGCATTTGTAGCCTATTAAATCTGGATGAGCAGAGATGCAACATTTTCGAAGCAGAGCACAACAAAAAAAAATGGAGTATGCCGTAAAAGTTTCATTGACAGAAATCCCATCATCAGAAATGATGAAAGAACACGCTCCCCATCACCACACAGTGAGAGAACACGCTCACCATCACCACAACACAGTGAGAGAACACGCTCACCATCACCACGCAGTGAGAGAACACGCTCAGCATCACCACAACACAGTGAGAGCACACGCTCACCATCACCACGCAGTGAGAGAACACGCTCAGCATCACCACAACACAGTGAGAGCACACGCTCACCATCACCACGCAGTGAGAGAACACGCTCAGCATCACCACAACACAGTGAGAGCACACGCTCACCATCACCACGCAGTGAGAGAACACGCTCAGCATCACCACAACACAGTGAGAGCACACGCTCACCATCACCACGCAGTGAGAGAACACGCTCAGCATCACCACAACACAGTGAGAGCACACGCTCACCATCACCACGCAGTGAGAGAACACGCTCAGCATCACCACAACACAGTGAGAGCACACGCTCAC